CTGGGCCGCGCCTCCTCCCTCCACCCCCCCACCCCCCGCTTACCTGCTGCCTGCTTCAGGCTTCCCGCGAATCAAATGTTTGCAGGAAGCAGGGGAGGGGGCAGAGTTGGGGCAGGGACTTTGGGGAAGGGGTGGAGTTGGGGCGGGGGGCAGGGCCGGGGCCCTGTGGAGTGTCCTCTTTTTGAACACTCAAAATATGGTAATCCTACCCAAATGGGCAAAACAAGGAATGGGGATAAGAAGAAATGTGTTAGTGGTTCGTTACAGACAAAGCCATCGTTAAGTCAGAGAGATCTCGGCAAAGCGTCAGGTTATTTCATGTTATTTACTCTAAGCAGGGGAAGAGTGAACCTGGCCCAAGCGTGCATTCCTTGTATCAAAATGTGAGTCGCTCATCAAGGATAATGCAGATCTAACTGTAGGCTACAACTTCTGTAATGTGGCTTCTGCATCTTCTGTAATGTCAGCAGTCCCTGAATGGCTTCCTGATTTCCTCGAATCGGCATATGGCCTGGTTGAGCTGACACTAGAAAATTCCAGTCTGGTTTCATTTTGGTTTGTGGGTGTATGGGAAAGAGTGCACTGGGGAGGAAGCATTGTGGGAAAGAAACCTCAAAGTGCAGCTGCTGCTGAGGGTGGATGCCGAGAAGTTCCCTGCAAAAGTGACACGCAGGAGGCTCTCCGCAGTGACACAACGCTCTCGGTTGACCACCTCAGGCAGTGATGTTTCAAAGCGACGTGCATGGTGCATGTAAACCTTGCTAGGGTTACCCAAAGCTTGTGACTTGCACATGCAATGGGGCCGGCACTGCATGTGGTTTGCAACGTTGCAAGATCATGTATAATTGTGGGTTTTGCACATTCTCTTCCTTTGCAAATGCAAATTAGACATTATTAAAAATATTAGCTCTTGGTGGTTACAATTAACTGCAATTTAAGAGCATAGATGTTGGGGGTTCTTCCCCCTGGAACCTTTCAAACGGGTTCACTCTAATGTTCGAATACGTGTCTATCCCTGTTGCCCGAGGGGCTGTACAGCACTCTTGGATCTCTAGTTTCAAGCAGGTAATAGCTGTCTGTTGTGTGATGGTTCCTTGTTTATGCTCTACCCTTGCACTTGTGGGTCACTAGATTAGGTTTGGGCCCTGAGCACATGTGACCCCTGTTAATGTCAATGGGACATGTAGGTTCTCCCTTGGTACAGCCTGTTGGGAATCCATATGCAATTTGAGTTCCTGGTGTCCCCAGCATCCACGCAGGAGCTTTCGGTCTTCAATGCTACTGACCCAGGGTGCACACTAAGTGGTTTCGCTTCCCTCCTCTAATGACTCAGGAAATGGCTGGTTGAGGGGCGCTCACCAGAATTTCATCACCTCTTCAGCAGTGGTGCCAACCCTGCCAGCTGTTGAGGGAGCTTGGGACGTAGTGCCCCAGGCCTACATTTGCTTGCACAAGCTGGCATTTCTGTACATGAGGTGCACCGTGACCCGATCCGCTGGTGCAATGGGGGGGGGGTGTGCATGTATTTTGTGCGTACAAAGTTAGAGGCTGCTGTGGGAGACATGGTCCCTTATGGTCAATGAGCATGTTCCCAGTCTCGTTGGGTTGATAGTGTTGGGCCACCTGCTATCCTTGCTGCTCGTCCCGAGCTGCTCTGAGGCTTGTGGTGTGGCTTTCAGACGAGAAGACCTGGCCTGCCCGTATTTCTTGCTCTCCGCCATGTCGGAGCAGGAAGATGACGAGATGTGCTGGAATAACTTGGAGAACTTCCGGGTGAAGCTGATCTCGGTGATAGACCCCTCCAGAATAACGCCGTATCTCCGCCAATGCAAAGTGATTAACCATGACGACGAAGAGCAAGTGCTTAACGACCCCAGTCTGGTAGTCCGGAAACGGAAAGTAGGTGGGTACTGGGCAGCTTCCGATTCACCACGTGTGTGTGTGTGGGGGGGGGGGGGGCCTGGCTCTGGGGTGATGCACTGGAATGAAAATGCCGAGGTGTCAATTGCTCCTGTAGGCCACATGGTGTTACCATCAACCCATGTAGTGCAGTTCTGGGAATCATGCTTTCAAGGTGCGTCTTTTCCCAGCCATTTGAAGAGGGTTTTCTCTAAATCCAAATAAACGGTAAATAATTCCTTCTCCTTGAGCTAACGTGGTGAATTCTCCATCACTGGCAATTTATTAGTGATTTATTTGAAGATATGCTCTAGTTTGGGGTAGGCAACCTATGGCACGTGTGCCGAAGGCGGCACGTGAGCCGATTTTTCAGTGGCACTCTCACTGCCAACTGGGTCCTGGCCAACGGTCCGGGAGGCCCTGCATTTTAATTTAATTTTAAATGAAGTTTCTTAAACATTTTAAAAACCTTATTTACTTTACATACAACAATAGTTTAGTTATATAGTATAGACTTATAGAAAGAGACCTTCTAAAAACGTTAAGATGTATTACTGGCACACGAAACCTTAAATGAGAGTGAATAAATGAAGACTCGGCACAGCACTTCTGAAAGGTTGCTGACTCCTGCTCTAGTTCAAAAGGAATTATTTCTGAGACGTTTTCTGGCCTGTTCTATATGAGATCAGACTAGGGGATCACGGTAGTCCCTACAGGCCTTAAAAAGCTCTGAATCTAGGATAAACTATTTCTGTGCCTCAGGTTCAGAGGGACTCTGGCAACATTAGAAAGAAAAATTAGCCTGTATTACTAGGAGTCCCTGGGGTTATTCAATCTGAGAACATTAAAAATCAAAGGTACTTTTCACCATCTATTCTATTTTACAATATTAACCCCTAGCTCTTTTGTGACAGTTTTCATCAGTAGACCTCAGTGCTTTACAACAGAGGCCAGTATTGTTACGCCCATTTTACAAATGGGGAAACTGAGGCACGGAAAGGGGAAGTGACTTGCCCAGGGTTACCCAGCAGATCAGAGATGGGAACAGAACCCAGGGCTCTGGAGTCTGACCAGTGCCTTAGTCTCTAGGCCACGCTGCATCAGTGTTAGTTGTTTATAGTGTAGTAGCCTCCAGAGGTCTGAATTAGGATTGAGATCCCGTTGTACTAGGTTCTGCGCAGACACCGCTCCTTCCCAAAGAATTTACAGTCTCAGACAGCGTGGGCTGTGAAACAAAGCCGTTTACTTTCCCTTGCTTAGTGAGTTACACTTTCCAGTTCTCCTTTGCCACCATCGCAAGGAACTGAGACTGGAAAGGCTTATTGTGGACCTCCCTTGCCTTTGTCCCGCTGAGTGTAGGATTCTTCTCTGCGGGATATTGACTAGCACACACTCTGCTGTTTGGGTTTCCAGCATGGCAGGGAGTGTTTAACCTCAGAATGACACCATGAGAAAGACCTGCCTGTGAAAGCATCTCTGGTCCTATTAGACTTCATAATTCCAACTTTAAAAACTGGTGACAGACTCCCTGCTTCTCTTGCTCTCACTGTGACCCCACTTGTAGCAGGGGACGGAGACTGTGGTCCTGCTGACCTCGAGAGCAGAGCAGAGGCTCCAGCACTTCGTGGCAGATACTTTGCCCCTTGCAGGATCAGGACATCTGTGCCAGAAGTGGGGCCCATCTAACCATCCCCTCTTCTTGAATTTGAGACCAAAGCCGCCCAGAGTTATAGGAAGTGCCACGGCCGTTTCATTCAAGCCTGCCTGCTCTCCTCCTCGCCTTCAGCAAGGGATTGCTTCTCTTGCAGCGCCTGCTGTTTGCAACACGCTAGTAGGAGCAGAGGCCTAGGGGCAAACCCTGCAGCCGTTGCTCAGTTAAATCACCAGTGAGAGAGTTACCTGGGCCAGGCCTGAAGGGTTTGACACCAAGGACTCTCTTCTGCTCTTGCTTACAGAGGAACGCAAGTACCAGCCATCTCTGGAAGTGCAGGGAACGTGTGTTACTCTGACATGCCATGTTGCAGTAAGCGCCTTTGTTTCTGTATTGCAGGCGTCCTCCTGGATATACTTCAGAGGACGGGCCAGAAAGGTTTTGAGGCCTTTCTCGAGAGCCTTGAGCTTTACTACCCACAGTTATATATGAAAATAACCGGCAAGGAGCCCAGCAGAGTCTTTTCAATGATTATCGGTAACGTTTTGATTCATTCCCACAACAGTCTCTTTATTTGATGCTGTTTTGCAGCTAGAGGAGACCTCGAATTCCGCGGTTACATCCCCGGTGGCTCATGTGGGCAGAGCCCCAGCCAGCCTTTCAGACTAGGTCACTGGCTCGAAAGCTCTTCAGCGAGGGTCCGATCCTGCAGTCGGATCCCTGCGGGGAGAGCTCTGCGGAACCCGCCCAGATCCGATTGTAGATTGGAGACTAAACACAAATGCTGTGTGTTAGGCGCTACATCGCCACCCTCTCCTGGGGAGCGCCAGTGCTGCTCCCTGTAGCCGAAGGAAGAGCGGGTGCTAGATAATGGCCCGGTTTCCCCTCATGGACTGCTCCGCCATGGTGCAAGCAGACCGAATTCCCCGTGAAATCTCCAGCAGGTGTCCCCACTGAACATGGGTGCCAGAGTGGCTGAGGCCTGAGGCGCTGTTCTGGAGCACTTGGCATTTCCACGGTACAAGGCGAGGTGGGTTGTTGCTCCTTCCGGCTCTGGCCAGCTGTATGTTCCTGTCAGCATGACTGTACCGGGTGTGATCGTGCTGGCTGGGGGGCCGGCTCGGGGGGACGGGGTAAGAAAAGCTGCTGTGGCGCTGACTACACGTGCCATTGGTTAGACAGCACCCGCAGGGAAGTCTTGTGATGCTGACTTGTGGTAAGGGACCTCTCTGCCTGGGGCTGGGGACTTGGGCTGGGCCCGACTGAGGGGGCTGGGGACTATGTTGTGTGAGTCTCTCTGTTGCGCAGACACCGCGGGGGAATCGGGCCTGAGCCAGCTCCTGATGAACGAGATCACGAAGCTGCAGAGCGCCGTGCAGGAGGAGAGGAGGAAGGCCCAGGAGCTCAACATGTGGCTCCATGCCAAGGAGGACGCGCTCAAGGAGATGCGGGTGAGGGACAGCGTGCTGCGGAAGCACCAGGAGAGGGCCCAGAAGATGAAGGAGGAGAGGGACAACTTGGCCAAGGAGCTGCGGAAATGCAAGGATGAGAACTACGACCTGGCCATGAGCTACGCCAAGCAAAGCGAAGAGAAGAACGCAGCCCTGATGAAGAACCGGGATCTGCAGCTAGAGGTCAGTGCCTCACCCTCTCTCCTTCCTCCCTCGTGCACCCCCGGGATTGGAGAGCTGAGCACAGTCGGGCCTTAGCGACCCGACACCACAGTCCGACGGGTGCCTCTCTTCTGCACCGCATGCCAGGAGTCCTGAATTCGCTGGGCTGAGCTAGTGCCTTCAAGGGTTTTTTTGACATGGGGTGCTGCAGGCCTGGCTTTCCCCTCGCGCAACAAGGGTGCATGCGATGCAAACGGAATCCCACGGTTGGCGCTAACTCGCAAGCCTTTCAGCGCAGATGCTAGCAGCTGCATGTGCTAGAGAATGAACAGGGTCTCCCCTGGGCAGGGATGGGAGACGCTGTCCCTGCGGCTTGGCCTGTTGGCTCAGGTCAAACGTAGCAGCAGCTGGGGGAAGCTTGCAGCGCTGCTGCCGTGTATCTTGCGCGTGGGTAGACAGGTACCATGTGCTGTGGGCAGAGAGGGCTCTGCTACATTCCCCCGGGGGTGGGGAAGGAATTCCCCTCGTGCTTCTTGCTGGAGGCTGGGACTAAAACCATGCCACTACAAAGATTTCCCCCTCACCGGCCGGCACTCCCCACGTGGCTCCTGACGAGGCCTGACCAGCTCCAAACTCCCCCTCCCCCTGCAGATTGACCATCTGAGGCACAGCCTGATGAAGGCAGAGGACGACTGTACACTGGAGAGGAAGCATACGATGAAACTGAAACACGCCATTGAGAAGCGGCCGAGCCACGAAGTGGTGTGGGAGATCCAGCGGGAGAAGGAGCTGCTGCTGGCCAAGAATCAAGAGCTGGAGAACACGCTCCAGGTCTGTGGGGAGGGCGGGCGTAGGGACTCTGGGACTGGTTGGGGTAGCAGTTCTGCCTCACTAACGCAGGTTTCTCCACGGGGGTTGGTGTCAGGGCCCCTCTTGGTGAGGCCGGGGAGCTTGGCGGGGTGAGAGCCGTGGGTTAGAGCAGAGCATGCTGATGGATGCATGGTGGCAGAGGGACCCCCTGAGCAGTGGTGGTGGGATATATGGGGTGTGTGAAGGTTGACAGCAGCTAGATGGGCTCGGAGGGCAACGGGAGAGGTGTGAGCAGCCATGGTGGCAGAGGAGTACAGCATTACCGAGAACAGCTAGGCCTGAGGCTCAGAAGGGTTTAAATGAAGGGCCCCAGACTTGCCCAACTCATTCTACGCCTTCCCCTGAACTGGCGGCCGTGACAGCAGGATGCGGGGCTGGACGGGGGCGCTGATCTTGCCTGGCAATTCCGGTGTTCTGCAGGGCTGCACGGGAGCCTGCAGATCACACTTGCCTGTCAGGAAATGGAGCAGCGCGCAGCTGCCTTCATCTTTAACATGGAGGGCACAGCAGCCTGTGGCGAGCACAGGTCCTGGCATGTGATGCCCTGTCTTGCTCAGAGCAGCACCTCCTGGGACTCTTTCTCCAGGCGACTCCCCTCCATCTCACAGATGAGGGCAGCCCGGTGCTGCCTTGGAGAGCATGTTGCTCCCCTCTAGTTTCACCCAGAGGCAGAGTGGAGGCCATGGGGGTGGTGGAAGAAGAGTGAGAATTGGCCACTAGTACTGTTAGGCTCGGGTAGGGGAGAGTGCCTCCTGGCTTTCCTAGCCAGTTGGGCCACCCCTCATTGTATTCCCCTTCCCCCTGGAGGTTGCCAAGGAAGGGAACTTGGAGAAGAACAGCCTCTACATCCAGGCTCTGGAGGCTGATCGGAGACGGGCACTGGGGGAGCATCAGGAGCTGGTGAACACCATCTACAGCCTGCGCAAGGCGCTCCAGCAAGCAGAGGATCTCCAGGACAAAGTACGAAGTCTGGCGGGAGGGGGGAGAGATGGAGTAAACTCAGCATGGGGAACATGTGTACAATGAAAGCCACTCTCTTCCCTGTGGAGCAGAGCAGTGCAGCGCCCGGGCAGCTAGCACTGCGGCTTGGCCTTCTGGCTCAGATCAAA